TGTTTTGAATTGTGATGTCTGTGTGTAAATAATGTTAATTTTGTTTATATTTCAGACAATTGGTGTAAGATGGTGTTTGTGACAACTGGTTGTGATGCTAATTGTGTCGAGTGATAAAACAGGTGAGTAGATTTATGTGGTCGGATAGTTGTGTGTGGTCTTGTGATGATGTTTGTGTTATGTCTGATTGATTGATTGATTGGTTGACTGGTTGTTTAATATATATATATATATATATATATATATATATATATATATATATATATATATATAGATATAGATATATAGATATATAGATATAGATTGATAGATTGTTTGTTAATACTGTAAACAGGAAAGGTTGACAGGTGATTTGGTGACTTAGGTAAGACAGTTGAGTAATAGTTGATGGTGTGGTGTTTGATTGATTGTAGTGTGTATATACACATTCAGTGTATGTGGTTTGTGTGTTGTGTAGATGTGTTTGTGGTGTATGTTGATTTTGAATTTGTTGAGAGATGATGATGTAATAGAGAGGAGTGTGTATTTTGTGTGTGTGCATAGGTTGAGAGGTGTCAGTAGACTGTTGAAATAGGTATTGTGTGATGTGATTCCAGCTCACATTGACTCGTTGAGGATGATAGTGAGATTAATGATCTGATGATATTAGTATTTCGATAGAATTTGATGAGAGAGTTGGTATTGTGCGTGCCAAATAAGAATAGTTTTTTATTATTAATTTGATTTTTAGTTTGTTGGTGATATTGGATGCGATAGATTTGTGAGGAGTGACGAGTGAAGTTGGCGATGGTGGTGATAATTTATATACAAGGTTTTTAAATCGGAATAACGGTAAGTGTTTGTTTACCGATTGTTGATATGATGTGATGTGTTATGATTAGTGTGGTGAGTAGTGGGTTTATTGTGATTATGTTTTGTATATGACGGTTGTAGTGATGGTTGGTGTTGTTTGATTACGTTTGTAAATAGATAAGTGAGACGTAATTTGGTGATGATAACTTGCCCTCTATGATCAGTGATTGGGCTCTATCTGAGACGACAGTATTGAAGAAATGTATACATATTTGCATGTACATGTATATGTACACAATTGTATTTAGAAAGAATGAAAAATGTATGTTTAATATTATGAATATGATGTTAATTGAGATATTGATATGTTGTTTTGTTTTGTTTTGTTTTGTTTTGTTTTTCTTGTTCAACTAATGGTAGTTTTGTAACGTTGGTGTATAGTTGTATATGAGAGAATTTGTTGATGTGATAATTGGAGGATGAAGCGAAAGTATGCAGATGCGAACACATGTGAATATGAATCGGTGGAAGAGTTATAATATGTGAAACATGAGATGATGTTTTGAAGAGGAAGGAGACGTATAAATGTGAAGATATATATTTGATATGATGTATATTTTACAACTGACTGATCGGACAACAACGATGTTATGTTGAGTGTAATGGTAAGTTTATGTTTATGCATAATTCGATAACTTGTGACTAGTGTTGTATTGTTCATGTTGTGGGACGAATAAGATGGTGGTTTTGTGTGTTGATGAGTTAGTGATGTGTGACTGATTTGTATGATATGATGTGAATTTATTCACGACGGTCTGTTGACCGAGATATGATATAGTTTAGTGAATACTGAAATGTTGTAGCATGATGTTGTTTTGAATTGTGATGTCTGTGTGTAAATAATGTTAATTTTGTTTATATTTCAGATAATTGGTGTAAGATGGTGTTTGTGACAACTGGTTGTGATGCTAATTGTGTCGAGTGATAAAACAGGTGAGTAGATTTATGTGGTCGGATAGTTGTGTGTGGTCTTGTGATGATGTTTGTGTTATGTCTGATTGATTGATTGATTGGTTGACTGGTTGTTTAATATATATATATATAGATATAGATATATAGATATATATATATATATATATGGATAGATATAGATATATAGATATATAGATATAGATTGATAGATTGTTTGTTAATACTGTAAACAGGAAAGGTTGACAGGTGATTTGGTGACTTAGGTAAGACAGTTGAGTAATAGTTGATGGTGTGGTGTTTGATTGATTGTAGTGTGTATATACACATTCAGTGTATGTGGTTTGTGTGTTGTGTAGATGTGTTTGTGGTGTATGTTGATTTTGAATTTGTTGAGAGATGATGATGTAATAGAGAGGAGTGTGTATTTTGTGTGTGTGCATAGGTTGAGAGGTGTCAGTAGACTGTTGAAATAGGTATTGTGTGATGTGATTCCAGCTCACATTGACTCGTTGAGGATGATAGTGAGATTAATGATCTGATGATATTAGTATTTCGATAGAATTTGATGAGAGAGTTGGTATTGTGCGTGCCAAATAAGAATAGTTTTTTATTATTAATTTGATTTTTAGTTTGTTGGTGATATTGGATGCGATAGATTTGTGAGGAGTGACGAGTGAAGTTGGCGATGGTGGTGATAATTTATATACAAGGTTTTTAAATCGGAATAACGGTAAGTGTTTGTTTACCGATTGTTGATATGATGTGATGTGTTATGATTAGTGTGGTGAGTAGTGGGTTTATTGTGATTATGTTTTGTATATGACGGTTGTAGTGATGGTTGGTGTTGTTTGATTACGTTTGTAAATAGATAAGTGAGACGTAATTTGGTGATGATAACTTGCCCTCTATGATCAGTGATTGGGCTCTATCTGAGACGACAGTATTGAAGAAATGTATACATATTTGCATGTACATGTATATGTACACAATTGTATTTAGAAAGAATGAAAAATGTATGTTTAATATTATGAATATGATGTTAATTGAGATATTGATATGTTGTTGTTTTTTCTTCTTCAATTAATCACAGATTTGTAACGTTGGTGTAGAGTTGTATATGAGAGAATTTGTTGATGTTGTGATTGGAGGATAAGCGAAAGTATGCAGATGCGAACACATGTGAATATGAATTGGTGGGAGAGTTTATAATCTGTGAAACATGAGATGATGTTTTGAAGAGGAAGGAGATGTATAAATATGAAGATATATTTGATATGATGTATATACTACAACTGACTGATCGGACGACAACGATGTTATGTTGAGTGTAATGGTAAGTTTATGTTTATGCATAATTCGATAACTTGTGACTAGTGTTGTATTGTTCATGTTGTGGGACGAATAAGATGGTGGTTTTGTGTGTTGATGAGTTAGTGATGTGTGACTGATTTGTATGATATGATGTGAATTTATTCACGACGGTCTGTTGACCGAGATATGATATAGTTTAGTGAATACTGAAATGTTGTAGCATGATGTTGTTTTGAATTGTGATGTCTGTGTGTAAATAATGTTAATTTTGTTTATATTTCAGACAATTGGTGTAAGATGGTGTGTTGTAACAATTGGTTGTGATGCTAATAGTGTCGAGTGATAAAACAGGTGAGTAGATTTATGTGGTCGGTTAGTTGTGTGTGGTATTGTGATGATGTTTGTGCTATGTTTGATTGATTGATTGATTGGTTGACTGGTGTTTAATTTACCTGGGTCGGTGGTATTGAGCATCCATCTGGGTCAGTTGGAAACCCCTGATTCCAAACTAATGGTGCACATGGACTCCAGGGTCCTGAGGGACTAACTGGCGTATGAACAAATTATTTATCATGAGCGTTCATCTGCTGATGTTGCTCCACTGCATCGTGGTCCACACCTTTAGATCGAAATCTAGGGGTGAAGCCTCCTAAAGAAATTATTTGTATCGGTTTGTGCATTCGTTCATTTTCCCATCCCAAACACAAATTGACTGATTTATGTGGCACATATATATTTGGTGCCTCCTTGTACCAATGTTTACGTGTTTAAATAAGTCAACTTTTGTAAAAAAGAACGCAGTGAGTATGGATTCGCTTCCAGTTAGGTCGAAAATATTGAGTTCTTCCGTACTCTTCAGTCTAAACAATTCAAAAAAATTTATTCCCAAGGATTCACCAGTTTTTATTCAAGTTCTGAATGCCAGTGACACAACTTTTCTCTAAATACTTGGATATACAATCACACTTTTTAAAAGCCAGCAGTCGTTTCATGACGGTAAGGTCACTATTTATTCGTTGAACAAGGTTGTGCTCTGAGATTGTCTGTTAAAGAAGGACCTGGAGACTTCTTTAATACCTCGAAATATATGTGCGAATACGCCAAGTAGAGTTGGGACATAAAAACGTCACTTCCAATAGTAGGTTAGTCAGGACTGCCCAGTCTCATCACTGCTATGTAATACTCTGTCAACGACCTCCTGGGAACAGTTGTAAAGGGTTTTTTTTTAGCTATGGTGGTATTGATGGGTTAGTTGGGGTAAGGATTTTCAGCCTACGGTGTTCAGAGAGGATTTATATAGTACATACTATGTATGTTAGTGAATATTCAGCAATCCTTAGTATTACAAGCACTTAATGCCACTAAAATTTGAAATTCATCTCCAAGGTTTCTAATCTTCCTAGTTTTTTTTTGGGGGGGGAATGTCAGTTTTGTGTAAATTTTGGAGAAAACGCAATAGAAAACTGAGGAATTGGAACAAAAATCAAGGACTTTCACAAGTCTTGACAAATTCCCTAAATTTTTGTGGGAGATCCCCGGAATGTTGGTAGAATTTCGGGTTGTCCCTGATATTTCACCAAAATGTTATGACAATTTGGGGCTGTTCCTCGAACTTTAAGGAAAACTATCAACTTTCCTACGAATTTGTGAAAAATACTCAAAGTTACCTATAATCTATCCTAATAGGAAAAACTTGCGCTTATTCTTGCACTTTTGCGAAATCTTTCTAAGTGGTTGGATAGTTCATGCATCTGTGTAGACTTGTGAGTAATTTCGATGGAGTTCATGTCTGTCTGTCTATGATGAAAATGAGAGTGGCTTATCTAGGTTGTTAGGAACTATTGTGATCTTTTATTTGTTCACTTATTTTGCTTTTACTGACATCATAATCCTGATTTTTATTTACATTCTTTATTCCAACAGGAATGACAACTGCAACTAAAAAGACTTTTGGTATGTTAAAGTTCATGTATTTTAAAAATTGATAATCACCTAAAGGATCAGTTGGTTGTGTACACAGTGCCGATAATCATGAAGATGTGAAACTATGTTCCATTGAGGCTAAAGCTGCCATAGCTGAAGTGGGGTTCGGTGTGAAAGAAATATGCTTAGCATCCGATCCTCTGCCATTTACGGACACATTAGCGTATTTGAATCTAACTACATTGGAGGGGGAGAAAATGTGTGTTGAAATTAGTGTCAAAGGATTTTGTCCTGTTGGTTCGTCGTAAGTCCAACGCTTTTTTGACATTAAGATTTATAAATATGTTTTAGACGTTTTGTTGTACTGTTAACCTCGGTTTTTCATTGGTTATGTTTATGTAATCTGATTCGCGTCTGAGAAGTTTAAACAGATACATTTTAAAATATTTTTGTTCAAGTTGAGATAAAGGAAAGTTTTTAGTATACTATTGACTTATGATCTAAGTATAGTTCTGTTGGCTGTCTTTCCTGATGTCTATCAGAAAACTGTTTCTCAAAGCGGAAAACCTCCATGTCTATTTTGTTAGATTTATGGCCTTGTGCTTTGTGATAGTTGCTATCGATGTCGTGAGCTATTCGGGAGAATTACTTTCCGGTAAGACGAGGTTGATACACTCGTCGATAACAAACGGGTAGTACGAAGTTCTCCATGTTTTTCAGCGCTTATCGACTGGTAGTGTCTTGCTTCCATTTTTTATAACTTGTTCACCAATGCAACATTTCGGGGCATAGGCGGAGACGACGAAAAGACATCGTTTCTCACGCCGATTTCTCATTTTGATGGTACTTTCTAAACTAACAGCACATAACCTACTGTTAATGGGGATCTAATCGATTAGTGCTGCCTCAGATCTAGCGCTTAGTGCGACACCAACGCCAGCAAGACCAGACGAAGATGCCACAGGGTCCCCGGATAAACGCACGTAAAACAAGCTTTTTGAAGTGACAGATGGAGAGCGAATTTGTAGTACTTCACCAGAGTCTTGAATACGGGTCTCGGATAGACAACAAACGTCAATATTAAGACTTTCCAAAGACAAAGCTAGCCCTATCTGTTGTCTGACCTGCATAAGTATGCGAACGTTGAAGGCAGCCAGTTTGAATGGTGCACGTGGTTTCAGAAAAACTGCTTCAGTACTCTTATTCGATGGTAACATACAATTTTTAACTAGGCAGTGACTCGAGAACGTTTAGATAGAACCGAGTTTCCACCATAGGCCAGCTGCTGTATAAGTCGAAAAATAAGGATAGACAGTTGGAATAAAAGAGTGAATAAATGATGTGGTAAATAATAATAATAATAACAATAATAATAATAATTATAATAATAATGTGAATTGTCTGACGATAAATCGCGGCGTGAATAGAGTTTTCAGAGAACATCATCATTTTCATTATATTTGTGTGTTGGCTGTGATACTTCGCGTATGCCCAGACCGAAGCAGGTGGTTTTCTTAGGGGGTCGCACCCCGGGCCTTCGACCTGAACGTCTGACCCACAAGGCAGTGGAGCATCGTAAGGAGATGCAGTCCCATGGTAGCCGGTGACCAACGATTGGTTCATACGATATTTGTTCCTTCAGGATACTGGAGCCGATGTGCACCATTGGTTTGGGATCCGGTTAAAGCGCCGATCATTCGCTTTTCGTCTTCTCATTTTCGTAAACAAAACCCCCGCCACGAGAAGGCAGTGAGTAGGACTTCCCTGGCAAAGGCTATATACGCATGGCCATGTGAGAGCATTTCGAGAGGGAGGGCGAACCCACCCCACTCTCGGCCATACCAGGGCATTTGGGGGCAAGTAACACAAGTGGAAGACTATCAGTCCATTGTGACACATTTGCTGCTGAAAGTTTCTATTTAAAATGTCAGTGCGATCTTCCTACTAAACCATTAACTTGTAGGTGGTAGGTGGTCGTTCTCAGTAATGTGGTCCCAGGAGTGTAATAAAATATAGATAAAGTCCAGATTTGAAGTATCGTCTACGGTCTGTAGTAATCATCGAAGGGCAACCGAAGTTTGCTACCCATCGTTAAATGAAAATGTGGACCAGTGTTCCAGCAGCAATGTCCTTGATAAATAGCGTGCACAAAGTCGAGACGGAACGTTAGAAAGTTTGCACATCATTTCTTCAACTGAAAGGCACGCTAAATTACTTGGGGTCTGAAGGGAGTGGTTATAGCCGTTTCGGAAATATCCGCAACTGTAGGCGTTTGGTCATATGTTTACACAGGTCGATTTTTAAAAGGACATACATTTTAACTTGGCTGTCAAGTAGTAAGTGTGAAGAAACGGGTAGCGATCAGTAATGGTTTTTGTATGGAGTTGGATGCCAATCGTTGCTATCCTTCTGAAGGGACATATGCAGCGGAGATATCCTTGAGCTATTTGATGAGCGGATTATTCCCAAATCTATTGTTTCATCAAATTCGTTTTTAGCCAATGTTCTCTTCTCGTGAGCTGATCTGCGGGCTTTCAAGAATACAAGTAATCCTGTCGTCATGATACGATATGAAACATTTTTGGTTACGCGCGGTAATTTCGGCTATGATTTGTACAATTCATGATATCTATTGAGTATCGTTTGGATGTAAGTGTTGACTGTATGTTTAATCGTGACCGGACGTAACCTACAGTTAGGAAATGAAACCACGTAAACAGTTTTTATTTATTTATTTATTTTAACACATAAGTATAGGTACAGGGAGGCACCAAGTTCATATGCGCCACACAGATCTCATTTGATATGTGTGAGGGCTGTGATACTGCCCGGGTGCCCAAACCGAAGCAGGTGGTTTTCTTAGGGGGCCACACCCCGAGCCTTCGACCTGAACGTCTGATCCACGAGGCAGTGGAGCATCGTAAGGAGATGCAGTCCCATGGTAGCCGGTGACCAACGATTGGTTCATACGATATTTGTTCCTTCAGGATACTGGAGCCCATGTGCACCATTGTTTTGGGATCCGGTTATAGCGCCGGACATTCGCTTTTCGTCCTCTCATTTTCGTAAACAAAACCCCCGCCACGAGAAGGCAGTGAGTAGGACTTCCCTGGCAGGGGCTGTATACGCGTGGCCGTGTGAGAGCATTTCGGGAGGGAGAGCGGACTCTCCCCACTCTCGGCCGTACCAGGGCATTTGGGGGCTAAATTAAATGTTTCGTCCACCGGCTTCTGTTTGCTTTGGTTGATGAGTAGGTCATGGTGCTGTAGCAGAACCATACCAAGGATTGGCATTGGTTGTCTGGAACAACATAAATTCATCGCATAGGTTTGCGTAGACCCGCGTTAAGGTAAACGTGGTGATCGGTTTTTCGTTCTCCACTTGTAAATTAAAGACTGACTCTTGTAGACGACTGTTATTATTCCGAGGAAGGACGCTAACATCTGCACCGGTATCAACGAGATAGCGAATTTCCGTCATTGTATCAGTAATGCATAACAGATGGCTATATCCACCGGCTACGGTTTTCATTAACGCATAGCGACAGTGGAGTTTCCCGAAATTCTTCTTTTGGCGTAAGGTTTGAGGTTGAGGAAACCGCAGGATTTCCATAGATTTTGTGGCATCAATACCAATTAGGGTTACCTATTTCTTTCAGTCTATAGACGGATTGTTTTTGTGATGAGCTTCTTCGGGGAGTTTTGGAGTATCTGTAATCATGACGAATGTTACATAAACGAGTGAGAGTATTTTAGATTCACTATCTTTCACTGTTTGTGAATTATGTGCTGTATATCCTCGACGAATAGAAGTACAATTTGAAATAAACTACAAAATCACTTCCCGACCGTTGTTGCTACCTTGACGTGGTGGTCGGGCTTGCCTATCATGATGAAGCAACTGAGCTATACTGGCTGGAACAACCGTTCCTCAAGGTCCTACCATGCCAGACAGGTCGGTTGAAGAGCGGTAAGAATAAAAGCAGCCAACAGAAGGTCCGAAGGCGAAGTCGTACTGCTGACTGCACAGAGGTGTGATGGCAGTAAGGTGTTTCCTTCACACAACCAGCATAACAGCGATGCTGTCTTCCGACAAGGAGGCGCGGGGTTAGAAAAGGTCGACCCTGAAAATGCACACCTCGCCCTGTCCCACGGGTATCCGTCTCCGGCGGTAAGGTCTCAATAAGTACGGAGCTAACACAAAAACTACTCATAAAAAGGTCATGTGTGACCGACCTCAAGCATCTGTCACTTGGGCGCTGCGGTCACGCCCTCAGGTCACTGACCACCTCTAATCCAATTTCCTTTTCAGGTACCTCCAGGAGAACCCTTCCACGGTGTGGGCAACCGGGAAGTGATAACTGCCCTCATACCTCTAACTGCACTCAAGACCACTGTATTCATGATCAACCTCCCTCTTCAATTCCAATTATTCCTCCTATGTCAACTTTCAAATCTAAACTTCCTCTTTCGGCTTCCCCCTCACGTGTCACCATAGCCAACGATTCTAGTGCACAAAACACTGCCAGGTCTACTGAAACCTCGCTCCAAACTACACATTGGAGCCTTCAACGTACGCACACTATGCCAAATCGGTCAGCAGGCTTCCTTGGCTAAAACCTTAGAATCTCGTACCATTGATGTATGCTGTGTCTCCGAAACACGCATACAGGATCCTAGTGTGGTCATTCACTTGACCTCACCTCGGCAAAACGGAGAGCCAACGAGATACACCCTCCGTGTATCTGGCGACCCGATGGCTAGTTCTCGTGGACTGGCAGGTGTAGGCATAGCACTTAGCATGAGGGCGGAACAAGCGCTATTAGAGTGGATCCCCGTTAACAGTCGCATATGCGCTGTTCGGCTAAACGGCTCCGTAAGAACTCGGAAGGATAGGGACACACGTCGTTGCCTTTTCGTCGTTTCTGCCTACGCTCCCACTGACTGCAGTTCGGATGAAGTGAAAGATGAATTTTACAGAAAGCTGTCTGAACTTCTTCAGAAAGCTAAACGTTCAGACATAGTACTCGTAGGAGGTGACTTTAATGCCCAGGTAGGTAGCTTAAACAAAACAGAAAGACATTTAGGTGGGTATTTTAGTATTCCGGCACAGCGAACAGATAATGGTGATCGTCTGCTGCAACTGTGCTCAGACAATCGTTTATTTTTAGCAAACACAAATTTTAAGCATAAGGAGAGACATCGTCTAACATGGCGACCCTCTGCACCAAACCAACGATGGACTCAAATAGACCATATTGCCATCAGTCATCGTTGGAGAGGGTCAATAGAAGATTGTCGCTCATTCTGGGGTACCTGCTTGGACTCTGATCATGCCCTAGTACGAGCACGCATCTGCTTGCGCCTCACTGGACGCAAAAGAGCCACACAAAAAAGACTCATTAGAACCGAATTGAGTAATGAGAAAGCCAAAAGTAGGTTCCAGGAACAACTGAGGTCACACTTAGGTAGTTCTGAAAACGAGACTGACCCAGATGTTGCTTGGAAAGTTATACAAGCAGTTGTGGAAACAGCATTGACATCTACCAGTGAGTTAAACCACAGGGTTACAAAGAACCAATGGATTTCTTCAAGGTCTTTTGCACTGATGGATTCTTGTAAACTCATCCCATCAGGATCTGAACACGATGATGAGCGAAAGAAAATCAGATCTAGGTTAAGCAAAAGTGGTGGTGGGCAACGAAAGCAAAATAGATAAAAAAGGCGGCGGCTATAGATAACACCAGACATCTCTTCAGACTCATAAAAGAAACTGGAACTAAAAAATCAGGTGTGAGACTATCTCGGAAAAAGACGACGTTCTTATCTTCTCCCAGTCCAGACGTTTAGAACGATGAGCGGAACACTTTAAGGAGCTGTTCAGCTAACCTTCAGCTACTCCACAACTACCCACCATTCCCAGACAGTGGGAATGGAACATTGAAGTAGGTCCTCCAACTCTAGCTGAAGTTCAAAAGGCTATAGCTAATCTGAAACGAGGAAGCGCAGCAGATCCAGATGGATTGGTTCCAGAGGTCTTTAAGGATGGTGGTCCAATTTCAGCGACTAGGTTGACTAACATTTTAGCTAAAATTGAGAAGTTGGACGTTATCCCCTCTTACTGGTCACAATCACTTATCGTCCCAATATATAAGAAAGGGTCAAAATCATCCTGTGACAACCATAGAGGGATTAGTTTGACTAATATAGCATCTAAAATACTAGCCTCGATAATTATCGGACGCCTAACTAAGACTCGTGAACTGCAAACACGAGGGAACCAAGCTGGCTTCAGACCTGGTCGTGGATCTACTGATAGGAATAACGCTCTCATCGACTGAATCCTCGGGCATCGATCTCCTACCAGGAGGTCCACTTATCGACTTAGAATGCGCAGATGACATAGGCCTATTCGGTGAAGACGCTGATAAAATGCAAAGTCTTTTGGTAGCACTGAGCAACAATGCCAGAATGTTTGGAATGCGCTTCTCTCCCTCTAAATGCAAGTTGTTGCTCCAGGACTGGTCTGCGTCAACACCTGAACTAAGATTAGGGGGTGAAGTAGTCGAACGCGTTGACAACTTCACTTATCTTGGAAGTCTGATCAGCCCTAATGGGTTAGTATCTGACGAAATATCTGCACAGATTCAAAAAGCTAGTTTGCCCTTTGCCAACTTACGTCACCTAATGCGAACGCGAGATATCCGTCTATCAATTAAAGGACGAGTATACTGCGCGGCAGTTCGTTCCGTTCTACTATACGGCTGCGAAACGTGGTCATTAAGAGTAGAAGATATTCTTAAGCTAATAGTATTTGATCACAAATGCCTTCGAAATATTGCTCGCATCTGCTGGGATCACCGGGTAAGTAATAGTGAGGTTAGACGCAGAGTATTAGGGAATGGTGGTAAGTCAGTTGATGAGGTTGTGAATTTTCATCGACTGAGATGGTTGCACTACGTTTTATGCATGCCCGACCACCGATTGTCACGATGCGCAGTGCTGACTAGTGTTGGAGACAGATGGGAGAAGTTAGGGGCGACCACAGCCAAACGTGTCATCAGTCCATAAAGTCACTAACTTCTGGTCTGAGCCATGTTGGTAGATGCAGACTACCTGGTTGGGGTGCGCATGACTATCGTAACCAATGGTTGGAGACTCTTGGTGACATGGCTCAGAATCGATCACGATGGCGTAGGTGTATACACTCTGTCTTGCTTTAAACTAAGATTAAAATCGCTTCATATCTTTCTTTCTACGAACTAATTCTTTCTTCCTGTACTATATCCTTATATTCAATCTTTCTTCTATATATTACCACCACTGAATTAACTACTTCTATGAATCCGGTGTCCATCTTGTTGTGCTAATGAGGTATGGCAAGTTGGACCTATGCATATATGTGCCTGGTCCTACGTTGTAGCTGACTGACTGACTCACAAAATCACTTCATCTGATCTGTAATTGTGAGTTTATTAGTGGCTTATTTCTACAGAGTTCTCGTAGTTCCAATGGTAATTCGTGACTAGTGGAGTTTGGGCTTGTCGCGATTGAATATGTCGTCACGAATGCCGTTATAGGATCGTCATGTTCTATCATGAATTGATTAAAGCTCGAAATTTCTACCATTGGATGAAAACTCAGTGGTTCTATAGTTCGTCTCAGGACCTAAATATCCTAGGTTTGACCCGTGGTAGGTTCATGGGTGCCCGTTGCTGAGTAGTCCAATGCATTAACTAGAGTAGGTAGAATAGAATTTGAAATTATGACCTAATGGTTGGGGGACAAGTGTCTTAATCACTAGACCACTGATGAATTAGTACTGAACAATTAATATAATCTTTAACAAAGTCACTAGTTTTTATAATATGTATCCATAATATCTATTTATGAATCTCAGAATGAAACGAAACTAACCTATTAATTTATAGTGGAGTAAACTGTCATATCTAAAAAAGTCGACAGAATATATTTAAAAAGATAACTATTAGCAAAACCCAGTTATTGATATTTTTTCTATTATTATCTTCGTTAATAACAGTGTACCCAATGCTCAATTTATTTGAAATTAAGTAAAACCTTGGTAATGACATCGAATAACTCAGTTTTGTTTCCGTCATTTTTTTATTTTTTATGGAACTACCATCAAGGTAAGATTATTACAATCTATTGAGCATAGGAAATAACAATCTAAATTGACCAATCGTTCGAATTATTTTTGAACTAATCCTTAACACTTATTTTCTAGAACAGCCAAAGTATACTCAATATTCATTGTTTAATACAAACAAAAGCTAATACCAATGGTCTTGTCTTCATTAATCCTTCAAACCAATCACTAGAATTAAATTGTCTTAAAGTTATGATGAAGCTAACAGATGTTTTTTTTTTTTTACTTCACAATAAATACTCAAAACGACTAGTTAAAATTGACTTCTGACACGGTCTAAAAAGCTGTCAAGTAGATCCAAGTGTTTCGATGCATCAAACTGTGGTCGATCACATTTACTTTACAAAGTATAATGATTGTAATCGATTTCTGCAATTCTAATGTTAAACTGAACCACATGACTGTTTACACAGATCAATGTTAATTGTGGTCTGTAACAAGTGGATATCAATTATCTGTAGTCATTTTGCCATTTCCACTTTTTTAATCCTTGACTAGTCACTAATTGTCTAATGACCAACTCAACGTCAATCATTATCTTGGTTGAATATTCTACA